GTAGCGGTGGTCTTAGTCGGTTTGGGTTTGATTAGATCTTTAATTTTGTTCGCAAGCGTGGATCCTATAGATGAGAAATAGTCGTTCATGATTGTTGCGATGGAACGTGGGTCGTTTACCGGGACGTTTTCACTGATAATACAGGAAGGAGTGGTTTTAGTTGGATTGCGAGAAGTGACTTCATTAATTGTTTTCCAAAGTTCAGCAGGTTTATCTCTGTTGTCATTGATCAGATTTTGATAGTAGCTGGATTTACATATCTTAATTTGCTGGTTTATGAAATTCTTAAGATCGCGGTAGGTATTCCAGTGGTATTCTGAATTATACTTTTGGGCATGTTTTAAATGAAAATCGCTTTCTCGCATGAGGTTAAGAAGTTCAGGGGTCATCCATGGTGCTCTTACGATAGATTTTACTCTCTTGGTTTTCATAGGGGCGTGCTTATTGGCCGATTCACGAAATGTTTCGCAAAACTTATTGGTAATTTCATTAATATCATTTAACGAGTCAATGAAAGTCCAATCAGATTTTCCTACATCGTCTCTAAATTTGCCTTCATTGTAATGTTTGTAGCAACGATAATTAATGTCCCTATAACATCCGCCAGAAATGCTTTTATTATTATTAATGCCACAAATGACTTCTTTCTCCTTTGAGAGCATACTGGTTAATTGGCAGCTTTGTGTTCGGTGTGTCAGATAAGAACGCAAAAGATTTAACGCTTTTCTTTGAAATCCATACATTTGAAACTTACTTAATAGTATAGTTTCGTGATTGACTGTATCAAATGCCTTTTTCAGGTAGAGAAAGACAACTAAGTTATAAAGCCCGCGGTCCATGTTGATGTTGGCATACCATTCGTTCGTACAATCCAATAATGTAGTAGTTGAATGATAAGGTCTAAAGCCAAATTGATGTTTTGACAAAAGATTCTCCCGGTTAAGGTATTTAAACATTTGGTCATACAAAATTCTTTCCATAAGTCGCTCCGCATAAGTTGCTCCCGTTAAGCGAAACTAATAGTAGTATAATTAATATGCATTTCTTTTATATGTTGCAATTTTTAGGGACTTACTGCATCTATTCTGCTGCAATCTCCCCCAATACATGTCCAAAGAGTGAAGGAAAATTCTTGTTCGGGATTGGATACTGGGATAACCAATTCTGGTTGAATGACAGCGAGATGAAGGGAGTGTTACCTGGTGGTAATTCTGATCGTGGAGGAAGAACTGGAATATATTTCTGTTGCCAAGGAAGCAAGGATCCTAACATCCCAATGTCGTTACCAATTGATCAACCATTCTACCTGCTGGCTTTTAAATCTTCAGTTTGTCAGAAAGTGGAGTGGGCGACAGTTAGTCCACAATTCATTCTTTATGATACATCAGATTACACGAGGAATCGGGATTCGTTCATGTATTCTACACCATTCAACGCCAAGAAAAATGATCCAAAGATACATTACTGTTATTATGAAGGTTTGTTTACTTTAGTGAACTCTATTTTATTTTCCAAAATGATTGAACAATAATTCCTTAATTTAACTAAATGAAACTAAGCGTCTAACTCTATTTATACCGTATTGGAGTATCAGTTTTAAACAGTTCTGCCTAGAAATCTAGCAAGTTACTACAGACATATATGAGGTAACTGGGGGATCCACATGAAGTCTTGGTAGAGTCAATCTGGCAGAACTTTTCTTACATGCAACTGAAGTGAAAATGTTTAACAATTATACCATGAGCTCGAGTCGTATATGAGCTGATAGCCGACGAGGTGCGTAGCACCGAGTCGGCTATCAGCCCCATATACGACGAGAGCGAATGGTATAATTGTTTTATAATATAGTCTAATAGCCATTGACTGAAGCAATAATTAATTATCCTCTGTTACAATGTCTTGACAATTTGTTCGGCCAAAAACCGCTTGGCCTTGAAAATTTGAAATACTTTTGTTTTACAACTCGAAGACGAAGTGAAAGAAATGGTTTTAGAACCGGTATATCTCACAGTAAAGCTCAGATATATTATACAGATGTTTGGTAGTATAGTAATTGCTTGTTGACTGCAAATTCATTTGTCTTTCGTTGCAAACGTTTCTGAACAATTTATATTCTCAATGAACATGTTTTTTTCGCTGTTGTTTCAGTATTAATTCTTTAAAAAACTTGTATTTAAACTAATTTCTATGTAATAAATGTATTTTGCTAACCTTGTACTATTATCTTTCTCAAAGCGAATATTTTCCTTTTTTCTGCTTCGCAAAACTCATGTAGTTTTTGGAC